ATAAAAAAGCTAACATTAGAATACTATGAAAAACTATACTCAAACAAATATGAAAATCTAGAGGAAATGGACAAATACTTAGAAAAACACAACCTACCTTCTTCTAATCTTAATGCCATGCCATTCTTGGTGACCTAATGATAAGAAGCTGTGCTGCAATCTCAAAGGCATATGGTAAGAATCCACTAGTTGTTTCTCAGGAGAAGGATGGGCATCCTCATACTTCTTGACACCCTACAGGCCATAACAGCAGTCATTGTGTCAATACACCTGGTTGAGGGTTTTCCTGTCCTTCACTGACCTTCTACCTTTCCAAGCATCGTTGTACCTTTCCAAGGAATAGCCACACCTAGCAACATGCCCAAGGTATATGAGGCAAAGCCTCATCTTCTTTGCCTCTAAAGTGTACTCCGGGGCCAAATATACATCCAAGATATATTTGAGGTTTTTTTGCCATCCATGGGATGTTCATTGCTCTTTTCCAAAACCACAGCTCAAAGTAATCAATTATTCTTCGGCCATCCTTATTCCATATCCAGATCTCAGATGCATAGCAAGTGATCAGAAAGATCATGGTCTAAATCAGATGTACCTTAGTCTTCAAGATGACATCAATATTCTTCAGTAATTTAGAGAGTGCTCTAACTTCAGACTTTCCCAATGCAATGTGCCTCCTGATTTCCTGACTTCTGGTTCGACGAGTGTTGATTGTGGAGCCAAGTAAGATGAAGTTGTTGACAGTTTCAATCTTTTTTCCGTGTATCATGATATTGTCTATCAGTCCTGTGGCAATAATTTTTGCTCTATTGACATTGCGATACAAGCCATATTGAAAGCTCAATCCTTTGATCTCCTGCAACATGTGCTTCAAGTCCTCTTAACTTTTAGCAAGCAAGATTGTGTCATCTGCATAACTCAGGTTATTGATGAGTTTCCCTCTGATCCTGATGCCACATTCTTCTTTATAGACCCCAACATCTCAAATAATTTTCTCAGCATATTGAATAGGTATAGATAGGGAATAAAATCTTGAAACAATCCCTTCTCTATTTAAAACCACATAGTGTTCCTTTGCTCTGTCCTCACAACAGCCTAGCTATCAGTTTCACATGTGCACAATTAAGAGCTCTGGGATGTCTGTTCTGTCAATGTTAACTATAACTTGTTATGATCCACCCAAATACCTTTGCATAGTCACTAAAGGATAAATCAACATTCTTCTGGTATTCTTTACTTTCAGCTAGGATTCATCTGATTTTAGCAATGATATGCCTGATGCCATGGCCTCTTCTAAATCCTGCTTGAACTTCAAAGCAGTCACTTTAATTATATAGATATAGATGATATAGATATAGATATAGATATAGATATAGACATAGACATAGACATAGACAGAGACAGAGACAGAGATAGAGATAGAGATAGAGATAGAGAGATATATAGATATAGATATATAGAAACCTATAGATAATCCTATAGATAATCCTATAGATAATCCTATAGATAATTCTATAGATAATCCTATAGATAATTCTGTATATAATTCTATATTTGTGTGTGTGTATATATGTACATGTTTGTTGTTGTTGTTTGATGCCGTCGAGTCGTAGACGACTCATAGCGACCCTATGAATGAACAGCCTGAGCACTGTTGGTACATAGACTTTCCGGAGGCAAGCCATTTCAGAAGTGGATGCTGCTCCTGCTTACATATACATTATATATGTACATATACATATATTAGATACACCTACATATATGTATATATACATACATGTTCTATACATACATATACATACATACACACATATATTTTTCCCTCACTGGTTCATTTCCCTAGAGAACCCAGTTATTTTAGGATTGAAAGAATCTTAGATCAAAGAACCAAAGAAAAAAAAACCCAAAACAAACAAAATAGCCCAAAACATCCCAACTTAAATATCTGAATAATTACTTTCATTCACCTTAATCGTCTTTAACCTGTATTACATTTCATCTGATAATACCTGACTTTTCTCCAGGATGGAGAGTTACAACAACTTCTTTATTAAATCACTACATATCGTATAGTCTTAAGAACCAAATATTCTTTATTTGCAGTTTATTTCATGGATCTATATAGAATAGTTCACTAATTATTCAAATAGACATTTGTTCTATACTCAATGTAGTCATTTTGATACTTTTTATTTTTTCATATATTCATCATATTGGTATTTATATTTCTCTTAGTGGTAAGGAGTCGTTCTGACAGCCCAAAAGCATGTGCTTGAAATTGACCACTTGTTGCTCATAAGAAAGATGGGCAATCTCCTCCCATGCAATGAGCTGCCTCTGAAAACTCACTGGAGAGTCAGTTGTATGTTGGTTTGGATTTGATGATCTATATCAAAAGCAGCAACCTAAGTCATGCTCTGAGTGGGACTTCTCCAAATTACATGGTATCTCATTTTATAGGCTGTTAATGAAGTAGTCATTAACCAAGAAGCTCTCTCTGGTGTCCTAATGGCAAGGAGCTGTGCTGCAATTCCAAGAGCACACAGTTCAAATCCACTAACTACTCCATGGGAGAAGGACAGACAATCTCCTCCCCATGTGATTTTCTGCTTCTGAAAACCCACTAGATCATTGCCTCTGAAACGCCACTGGAGGGTCAGCTATGAATGAGTTCTGACTCAACAGCACACAACAACAACATTAACAAAGAATATTGTGTTATTGTTAGTGGTAGTGTTAGGTGCCATCGAGCCGTTGCCACTCATAACACCCCTATGTACAAGAGCCCTAAACCCTGCTCTATCCCGTGCCAACCTCACTGTCTCTGTAAAGATTTATAGAAATCTACCAATGTCATACAAATACCTGAGCATAAAAGACTCGCAGAGATTATATAAGGTGTATACCAAAGATTTTATATTCTATACTTATGAGGTGTAAAGGACTTTGTAACTGAAAAACATTAGGAGGAAGAAGGATGAAAATTGGAGAAGTCCAGGTATAGGTCTTGCCTAACTCAGAAATTGATTTATCTTCTTTCACCATCACAGGTTAGTTGATACTTGCTAAGCAAAATTTCTTTTCTCAGAATGAGAACAAAAAAAAGAAGAAGAACACCTAACACCTCTTACAACTAAAGATTTATGGAAGGAGGGGAAGAAGTATCTCACTTCCCATCCACCACCCCAAGTTTTTAGCCTTGGCACATTGTTTTTATGTACTATGGAGTCTGAAAAAAAAACACATAACTTACCCTCAACCAGATTTTTAGAGGCAATCACAAGGGAAAACATTGCTCATCTTTCTCCCATGGAGCATCTGGTGGATTTGAACCACATGGCTTTGTGCTGGCAGTGCAGCTCCTTAGCACTAGTCTACCAGGGTTGTCTCCTTGGCCTGTAGGACTTAGTTATTCTATCCTTGTATCTTTCTCTCTCCTGCCCATTTATATTTAATGAAGACGGATACTTCCTTGAGCTAAGTCTTATTTCTAGGTTATTTAAAGATGATCATTCAAGGCTAAGCCTAGGCAAAACTGTAAGTTATGTTGGTTTAGGAATTCTAGTTATTCCAAGTTGTTCACTGTTTTCCACTTTGTTTTTACTCACTCACTTATATAACTTCTCCTCTGTTCCTACAAGTTGAATAAAAATAACTCTCAGGGGGTAGCAGGGAAAGAACATGTTTAAATGAAAATAAAGTCAAAGTCCAAGCTTCACAATATTATTGCAAATATTTGAAAAATGTGTATGCTTATTAGAAATTAAAATGATTGGATAAATAATTGATTTAAAGTAATGGGCTTCAAAGTGATTTTAAAATTTTACTCATCTGAAAATGTTCATGTGGTTATGCTCATGACTTTTAATTCAAAGTCTACCAATCCACCAAGAGATAATACATTTTAATTAAGAATCTGATGACCCACTTCTGAATGATCACAGTCAATGGAAACCTTCTGGAGCACAGTGCTACTCTGGGGCCACTGTGCATAAGAATCAATTCCACAGCAGTGTCTTTTATTTTAAATTTTAAAATATATTACACAACTGATTTTAAAATTGAGAAGGTCCTCTCTGCCAAGTAATGCAAATATACAAGATTTCATATAAAGTAAAAGAAAAAAGGCAAAACCAAATTATAGTACTATAACTTATGTGAAAAAACTAGGGAATTATCAGAACATTTGCAGAATATTTGCTGAGCTTTGTATAATAAAGCTCTATAAGCATCCAGAAAAACAAACTCTTAAGTGTGGTTTCCCATCATGGTAGGGGTAAAGAGTTGACTGATAAAGACAAATATTTGGTAATACCATCTCAGACAAGAGTCTTGTAATAAAGTTTACAGAATACTTCTGGGCCTCAACAAATAAAAGACTGATAACCCAATTACAAAATGGGCAAAAGACATAGAAAGAATTTTCACAGAGGAACATATTTGAATGGCAAACAAACACATGAAGAAGTGCTCCAAATCACTGGTAATAAGAGAGATGCAAAGCAAAACCACAATTAGGTACCATCTCACTCAAATAACAGTGGCAAAGTTTAAAAGAGCAGTAAATAATAAATGTTGGAAAGGATGTGGTGAGAAAGTAACTCTTAAACATCATTGGTGGAATTGTAAAATGGTGCAGCCATTCTGGAAGGCAGTTTGGTGCTTCCTCCAAAAGCTGAACATAGAAATTACATATGATCCAGCCATTCCACTACTTGGAATATATCCTGAGAAAATAAAAACTGAGGCCAAACTGAGATTTATACACTAATGTTCATAGCAGCTTTATTCAGCATCACAAGAACACGGAAAAAGCCCAAATGTCCAACCACAAACAAATGGATTAAGAAATTATGGGACATTCACACAATGGAATATTATGCAGCACGCAGGAGCAATGATTTTGTAAATTATTACCTAACTTGGGAGAGATTGGAGAGCATTATGCTGAGTGAACTCAGTTCCACAAGGATAAATTTTGTATAAAACGATTATTGTAGAATAAGGATCCAAGAGAGGTGGGAGAGGCTGGAAGCAGAGGGATGAGGATGTGCAGGGGGAGGAGTGGATTAGTCATGGTGCATAATTTGATGGGTGAGAGGGTGAAGGAAAGTGAAAGAATTTGTTCTTAAAAACAATGTATTCAAATTTTGTAAATAAACTAGTAGAAAATTAAAATAAAAAACCAAACAAAACAAGACAGGTTGAGGAATTGGATCCAAACTTCTCTATGCAGATTTTTAAAAAATTTTTATTCCTTCATTGTTGCACTTTTGCCCCCCTCTCCCGCTCAACCCCTTATCCAGTCAACTTTGCAGTGTACCTCTTATACCAGATTGTTGTCATACATATAATACCTAATTGTATATTTGTTTCAGACAGTTCTTCCCCTCATCTGTTCCAACACAGTGTTCATTACCTATCAACTGTTCTAGTCTCTACCCAACCCATCATGTCAGTTGCAAATTCTTTTTTTAATTTTTTTTTTGTTTTTAACAGAGGTTTTGGATTTCCATTCATTCATTGCCTCAATTTTCTACCTGTTCACCCCTCCCCACCAGCTCGCTTCCCCCTCCGAAGAGAGAAAAAAAAATTCCTTCATATTTTTAGGCTAATTATTGAACATTGGCCTAGTGGGTAGAAAGTTCTGCTGCCAACTCAGACAGTCAAGGAAACTCGGCTTGGCTTCAATATCCAGAGTTTTTTTACTGCATTTTTATTTTATGTGTATGATTTAAGGAATCGCTCTACATATAGTATAACTTACTCTCTAGCTACTTTCCCCACTTCCTCTTGAATACTTGGCATCAGGATTGGTGGAAGATCTATTAACAATCTGCATTATGCAGATGACACAACCTTGCTTGCTGAAACTGAGGAGGACCTCATGCACTTGCTGCGAAGGGTCAGGGACTGCAGCCTTCAGTATGGACTGAGGCTCAATGTCAAGAAGACAAAGATTCTCACCACTGGACCAATTGGCAGCGTCAGGATGGATGGCGAAGAGATTGAGATTGTTCACAGCTTCAGTTTGCTCGGCTCCACAGTCAACACTCTTGGCACCAGCAGTCAGGAAATCAAAAAGCATATCGTGATGGGAAAGTCCACTGTTAGGGACCTCTCTACTCAGGAACAACGGTGTCTCTCTGGAGACTAAGGTGCGCCTGATACAGGTCATGGTATTTGCAATCACCTGTTATGCATCAGAGAGTTGGACAATGACTAGGGAGGACAGAAGAGTGGATGCTTTTGAGCTGTGGTGCTGGAGAAGGATACTGAATGTACCATGGACTGCCAGGAAAACAGATTCATCTTGGAGAGGATTAAACCAAGCTACTCCTTGGAAGCAAGGATTCTGGGGCTTCGTCTGACATACTTTGGACATGTTGCCAGGAGGGACGGGTCCTTGGAGAGGGACATCATGCTTGGGAGGGTGGAGGGACGGCGCAGGAGGGGAAGACCCTCTATGAGATGGATTGATTCAGTGACTGGGGTAATCGGGATGGGTGTGTCAGAGGCAGTGCGGTTGGCGCAGGATAGAGTAGGGTTTAGGGCTGTTGTGCCTAGGGTCGCTGTGAGTTGCAAACAACTCGACGGCACATAACAACAACAACAACAACATCTAATAGTTGTAGTTGTTGTTGTTAAGTGCTATTGAGTTGTAGGCGACTCCTAGTGACCCTATTAACAAAAGACCTGACCATTTGTATACCTATCATCATTTCTCCAGGTTCATAGGGTTTCCAGAGACAAGCTATTTCAGAAGTGGATGCTACTCTTGCTTCTAATCTTGTTTTAATAGAAGAACTCCACCAAATATTGTCCACCATGGGTAACCATTTTCCCTTTTTTTTCTCAAGGTATTAAATCATTTATTGATTATACATGATAATGGATGATACATCAATTTCAATCCCATCTATTATTTTTTATCTGGTACCATTATTAAATTTAGATGTATTGCATAGGGTGTGCCAACGACCATTTTAAAACCAAATAAATTGCTTTTAACTTTGCTTGGGTGACCATTTTAATGGGGAACTTCAGGTCACAACACATTAACTTGTCAGTTCAACTACATCAATTTTTTTTTTTTCTGTAGACAATGGCTTTTCTGTTCCCAGTCTTCTAAATTTTTAATGAAATCTGGCATCATCCTGAATGCATTCTAAACTTCAACACTGTTGGGTTATTTATCGAAATAAGATGGCTTCAGAGTAGACTAACTTTACACAGCACATTTTTTAAAAAGACATTTATTCAGTGTCATGATCAGACTATTACATTTAGCAATCAACAGCATGGGTGCAAAAAAAACAAAAACAAACAAACAAAAAACAAAAAAACCCTTACATTTAAACCCCTGTTTTCGGAATGCTTTACACTTTCCACAGAACAGAAACTAACCTGTTATACAATTAGTCACAAATACAGTCCTCGAGTTTTTTGCCCATACACGAGTATTGTCTAAAACATGTCTTCTTTGTAGCAGCTAGGTGCTGCCACCACTGTGCTTGGCTGAGTTCACAAATCTGTTGTTAATTTGTAGCTTCCCTGTCACTTCTCTGGCTCTCCTCTCCTGCTAAGCTTTGTTTCCTGGCAGTTACTAAAACCGTCTGCCACTGCCA